CCATTTGATAATTGAAGGCACCGAAAGGGCAAGTAATTTGACAAAGGTCATATAGTCAGGAATGACAGGGGCAGAGATTCAAACCTAGGCAGTGTGGGTCCAAGAGCTCACAGCTTTTCATCTTCTATAGGGTCACCAAACATTCAAATCAAACATTTTTCCAGCAAGACTGGCTTGTTCTAAATGATTTCTACTTCCTAAGGATTACTGTTACTATCTTTCTAGGAGTTTCTGGGAACCCTGACCCAGAATCTCCAGCTTAGAATCCAGCGCCTTACTGCCTTATGGCCCGCACCTATGTGTCCACCTGGATTTCGGCATACTTCCGCCATCATGTTCTAGACACTGAGTTCCATCTTCTACCAGAATCCAAAGTCGATCATCCCTAACTCAGACCATCACTCATCTGCCTCCTCTGAACGTTCCCCCAGGATAATGCACTGCTTGATTAGACAATACTTGTCCGACCGCCTGCTGCTGCATTCCACGTCATCTCCAAAGGCCAGCATCTGGTTATCTAAGTTTCTCTTGGTCTAGAATGACCCACTTCCTAACTCTAAATTCCCTTTCTGACTTCATTCATCCTTTTATTAGGTGTCCAACAAGTGCCAGGTACTGTCACACAGGACAGCACACAGGCACACAGGACACAGGGCGAACAGAAAGGAACACTCCTGGACTTCTAGATTAGTAGGATCCCATCCCCTCTAATTTCATTCCTCCTTGATCTCACTGTATTGACTCCTCTCCCCAAATCAAATCTGAAAACATCAGTATTCTGAGAACCCAATCTTCTCCCCTTCAGGACACTCAAAACTTTAATTCTAGATTTGACTATCAATCTTTAAGTGTTCTCTGACATTCTTAGAAAGGTATAATGGTACCCAAAGCCCACCCTTGTCAAAGCCAGTGTAAAGGTAACCTTGGAAGCATTGAGTGATAGAAGGAAAAGGTGTTTGTCATTGTGAAGGTCTTAAGAAGAGAGAACACGTCACTCTGGTGCTCTGGTGTGGAGATGTTTGTTTTCTCTCTCTGAATGTGTAACAGGAGATTAGGCAGTTCACCTTTGTAAATCGTTTGCGCACCACTTATGAACGAGCCAGATGGTGCCTCTTCATTTTAATAAATTAAAAATGGAAAAGAAAGACTATGAGGAGGAGTTTGTCTCCATCTCTCCGCCTGCCCTCATATGCACATTCTAGAATCTGCCCTGGGCAGGCAAGCACATGTACACATACACACACACACACACATGCCTGGATTATCTGCACTTAGTGATACTGGGCATAAGAAGCTGAAAAACTCTTAGGCCCAACTGATTTCAGTAATCACTGATAGCAGAGAGGTACAAACCTGTCCAGGGGTATCAGCTCTCAGAGAGAATCCTTCACAGTGTTCTCACTATCTGACAAATCAGAGCATTCCCTGAAGGCCTCAGCAGATGTATACTGAACAAAACGTCTTACATGAATCACCCGAATGTGGACTTAGCTCTAGGATTCATGACCCTATAAACACTTATGAGATGAAGAGGCAAGTACTGATGACCCAGTATTTCCATACATGTTGAAACCTTCAGAAAGACATTTTCCTGAGGTGGTCAATACAAAGATCCTACTCCTTTGGAGCCGCTGCATGATCCAGTTTATCTTCCAGTGGTCAGGGAGTCTCTCTCTTTGTCCCAAGAATTGCACAGAGAAATAAAATTATCCGCAGAGCTGTCTTGGCTTGGATGTGAGGGGACTCATAAGATAAAAATAAATAAGAGCTAATCCAGTAAGTGTTGTATTACAGGCTCTTTGTACAAATTAACTTTCTTAACATCAATACAACTCTGTCGAGTGAGTATTTTTGTTCTGACTTTAACAACAGAAAAATTGAACAGAGGTTAGGGGAAATGCATCCAGGTTGTGTGGTCGCTAATGGTGGTTGTGCATTAGCATGTGAACATAGGTAAGATTAGCCCTAAATCCAAGAATTCCCTTGTCATTCCCATGTCTTCCAATATGGACAATAGGACTTTGGGGTTCATTTTAACGTGACTTCAGGCACATCTACTCCTGTTTTTTATTTTGCAGAAAAGTAGGGAAGGAGGAGTGGTGTATACACTAGGACACTGTGAGTAAGCGAACAAGAAGATATGCTACGAGCTGGTCTTTAAACATCTCATCAGTGGAATATACAACTTTCCAATGATGTGCAGTGTTTTTCCTGTAAGAGTAATCCTTTTTTGTTCAAACTTCCTTGGGACCAAAAATACACATTTCAAGCTAGCTGGCCTTGGCTAACATCTCCCTTAGAACTCGTGAAGAAGGAATTGAGGTTACGAGTACTGTGTACATTTTCCCACCTCATTCTCCCTTTCTTAAATTCTAATCTGCCCTGGTACCCACAGAATTAGACAGAGTATTTCTTGTAGCTTTTTCAGGCATAAAGAGCAACAGTTCACAGTTGTTAAAGCAAGGGCAAAGAAATATCCATTGGGAATGTGATCTTTTTATTTTTTTGTTTTTCCTCTCTTAAACCAGATTCAGGGAATATTAAGTACACATCTAGAAGCAAATTTGAAGGGTCAGTTAGCACATTCCGGTCAGAAGTGGTTTCCTAAGACTCTAGTGAGGTCGGTAGTTATCAGCTTGGCATAATCAAACATCTGCCTTTCACAAGGAACAACAATGAGCCATCCCTTGTTTTCATCAACACCAACACAGATCTAAGCACAGACAGACAGACCAGCAAACCCATTAAACAAAGTGGAAAGGCAATTAAACAGCGCCAGCTCCAGCCAGACTCTAGGAAATCTATGACCCATGGCCCCTCGTTGGTAACCACACCAATGCCTCTCTTGGAAAAGAGCAAAAAATATGGTCTAAACACTAAAGAAAGACTCCTCTTTGAGAGTTCCCGGCAGGTGTGCCCTGGCCATCAGTCTGTGACTACGGACACATCATGTCCCCTTTTCCATCCCTGGGGATGCTGGACAGAATAGGTAGCTAGAGAAGCTGCCCAGCTTGCTGCGGACACACTATGCTTTGTCTCACATTCTCTCATGAGGGTACATCATCTGCCATTCTTTGGTTGTACCACAAACAAGTCATTTTCTAACCACAAAGATCGTTTCTCAAACATTCAATTTTTCTCTCAACTATTGCTAAAATAAAGTGTATTGTGTAATCTGTCTTAATGTCTGAGTGATCTCATTTAGGCAAAGCCATAAGGAACATCCAGATAGAACTGATCTGCACACACCTCAAATTCCCAGGCTCTGGTCCACCATGCCTAGGCCAACACGACAATCCTATGTGACTCACAGTGTGGTCCCTCATTTCTTCAAAGAAAATGAGACGAATGGCTGCCATGATCCTGGCTGAAGACTGAATGTGTACCCAAATTCATATGTTGAAACCTAAGCCTCAAGGTAATGGTGTTAGGAGGTGAGGCCTTTGGGAAATTATTAGGTCAGGAGGGCAACGTATTTTTACAGAAGAGATGCCAGAGAGATCCCTTAACCGTTCTGCCAAGTAAAGACACAGCAAGAAGACGGCCATCTATGAATGAGAAAGCAGATCTTTACCAGACAATGAATTTGTGGGCACCTTGATCTTGAAATTCCCACCCTCCAGAATCATGAGAAATAAACTTCTGTTTTTTTGTAACCTGTCCTGTTTGTGGCATTTGTTACAACAGCCGAAAAGGAATAAGACATCCCTTGACCTCCAAAACATTGTCCCACACTCTCCTTGTACCACCTATCCAAACTCCTCTTCCCTTTGATGTCCCAGAAATAGATCTTCTGTAATTTTTTTTTTTTTTTTGAGACAGAGTCTCGCTCTGTCGTCCAGAATGGAGTGCAGTGTTGTGATCTCGGCTCACTGCCATCTCTGCCTCCCAGGTTCAAGCAATTCTTCTGCCTCAGCCTCCCGAGTAGCTGGGACTACAGGCACACGCCACCATGCCCAGCTAATTTTTGTATTTTTCAGTAGAGATAGGGTTTCACCATGTTGGCCAGGCTGGTCTCAATCTCCTGACCTCATGATCCATCCACCTCAGCCTCCCAAAGTGCTGGGATTATAGGCGTGAGCCACCATGACTAGTCTTGGATCTTGCATATTTTTTAGGAATCCACCCTCAATCAGTTTGCAGAAGCTATCTGTGTCTCAGGCTGCACTCACATTTTCCCTTTCTGAGGTAAGTGACACTCATGGCCATCCATCCCTTACCTGGAAATAAAACACTATCAGAACCAGTCAATGATCCACGGCAAAAATACTCCCAAAGACTTAGGTGAAAAAATGATTTGGGGCGCAAAATAAGACTCTTGTTCATGTAAAGCAGATGGCTGCATGAGGGTAGAACTGAGCAGGATGCCTCTTCTCACCATCAAGAAGCTTTTCTAAGATTTAACCTGTCCTCTCTCCGAAGTTGGCAACAGACAACATGCTTCCTTTCCTCCTCTGTTCTAACCCGTTTGGATAATACTCAACAATATATTAGGCATTTTTGTTACTTTAGGTTTCCCCTCCCCACCAAGATCTACCTATTGGAAACAACGTAATTCTTCCATCATCACAAGATAATTTCAGAGAATAAAATGTGTCATGGGTGAGGCTAGATCTGGGACTGAGTAGGGAGATATGAAACATAGTACCAAGTTAGGCATGTCTGTGTGTGTGTTTGGGCACATACATATACATGTATGAGTATGTTTACATGAAGAATGAGTATCGATGCACATAAGAACACAATGCATATGTCTTTGCAATGTACAGATTACAGTTCAGTTACATGTCCAAGAAGGAAGGAGAAGCGGGCAATTGAGAAAATAAGGAACAGGTATGTCAAGATGCAAGAGAAGACAAAAGATAACTGTTGGGTGCATGTCTGGGCATGGGTGTGAATATTTGTGTGCCAGAGTGACAGGGTTAATGGACAATGAAAAAGACATGTAAGCAAGGCGCTAGCTCTGTGGTTGAGTCCTGCAGCCGGGAAAGTCACCTTACCCTGTAATAATCCGTGCTGTAGACATCTCTGGACATGCCGAAGTCCCCGATCTTCACTAGCAGATTTGCTCCAACCAGGCAGTTCCTGGTGGCCAGGTCTCGGTGCACAAAGTGCTGGGAGGCCAGGTACACCATGCCCGAGGCGATCTGACTGGCGATGTGGAGCATTTGGGAGAGCCCCAGCTCACCCTTGGCCTGGCGTGGCTGCCCGTCCACAAGGATCATTGCATCTGGCCCATGGGCCCTGCAGGAGCATGGCGAGAAGAGACGGAGCAGAGAGAAATCAGGAGATCAAGGGGAAAGACCTTCCTGATTCCCTGTCCTCTGGAATGCCCCACAGAAATAAATAAAATTTTCCTTTCCAGCCTGCCTGTTTTTATCTACCCCAAATTAGATTACATATGTGTAATGGGTGAAACTCCACAACCAGATTCTGACTAAGATGACAGCAGACATACTCAAATGAAAGAGGGAATAAACCTACCCTTTTTTTTTTTTTTTTTTTGAGACAGAGTTTCGCTCTTGTTACCCAGGCTGGAGTGCAGTGGGGCGATCTCGGCTCACTGCAACCTCCGCCTCCTGGGTTCAGGCAATTCTCCTGCCTCAGCCTCCTGAATAGCTGGGATTACAGGCATGCACCACCATGCCCAGCTAATTTTTTGTATTTTTAGTAGAGATGGAGTTTCACCATGTTGACCAGGATGGTCTCGATCTCTTGACCTCGTGATCCACCCGCCTCGGCCTCCCAAAGTGCTGGGATTACAGGCTTGAGCCACCGCGCCTGGCCAAACCTACCCTTTTTAATGCTTGACTGCTCCCCAGGATCTTCACAAGTGCTAGATGTCTATTATAGAATAATTAGTAAAACAACAAATAACTCTGCCATGGCCCTTACTATGTGCCAAGCACTGCTCTGGTTGTTTTAAATATTGTAATTCACTTCATTTTCCCACCCCAATTTTGAAATAAAGAAATGAAGGCACAAAATGATCAGATCGCTCAGCCAATGTTCCGGAGGTCCAGAATGACTGTACGGAATATCAGGAAGTAGGATCTGAAACCAGGTATGTGACTCTGAAAGGAGACCTGCTAACAGGAGCATCGGGAGGGCTCATTCTAAGATTATCTGGCTCCACCCCCTAGGATTCCGATTGCCTAGGTGAGCTTGCTCGCTTGTGCTGGTGCTCGCAGTGCACACTCAATGGCACTGGGACACACCTAACCACTCCACCACACTGCTTAGCACTGGGTAACTTATGGCCAATGGCGGTGCACTGTGACCTTGAGGCACAGGGCTGGGGAACCCCCAGAACCCACTCCATCCCAAATCAAAGCCCAGCTTTGCTCTCCTAACACCTTGCCCAGTCATATCAGCCACTTTTAGTGTTCACTCTTTTCTCTAGAAAGCCCAATGAGCCGTAACCACGCCCAGGGCCCTTATTTTTGGAGTTGTGGACTAAAGAGCCCTGGTGTACGGCAAGGCCTCTGTCTGCTTTACTGCCTCTCCCATTTCCCCTGAAAAGCACCATTAAGTATGACGGCATTCCGTTTTCTATCTCCGCTGGACTCTGCCTATCTCACTCCTCAGAAGGAGGAAGGCTGCATCAGCTTGCAAGGAAGGGGGATCAGCAGAGAAGCCCTCCCTCTGTCTACCTAGAGAGTGCACTCCAGCCTGCCCCTCAGCAACACCAGTGTGGAGACGCGAAAGCAGGTAGAGTCAGCCTGCAGGTCATGGAGGCTGTGTTTATAAGAGCAGCCAACAGGACACCTCCCAAAAAGCATTGGTACGGCCTGTTGCTAAGAGCTTCTGGCCTCAGAGCATTCTTTAGAAGCTCACCCTCGACTGATAGAGCCTAGGAAGACAGATTAATGGAACCTACTGGGAATCTGATCAGAAGTGGAGGCTAAAGCTCAGATTCTGCTGCAAAATTGCCCCAGGAAGACTGTCTAGCCTTGATTTAGATAGGCTTATCCATGCTGTCTTGAAGAAGGGACCCCATAGAGACACAGAAGTCTTCAGAGTGTCAGCCAGTTCTTGCAGAACCTGACTCACATGCGTGCATTCCTCATGCTGTCTGCCCTGGAGAAGGGGAGGCACTGGCGCTGCCCCTCACCTTATGCACTTCCTTCTTTTTCTTCAGAACTCCTTTTTCTTTTCATCTTACTTTCTGCTTCTCCCCCTCCTGACCTTTACTCTGGGCGCTCACTCTTTATTTCCCTTCTACCATCTTCTTTCTCTTCCCTTTTATCATGCATGACAGCAGCGCAGAGGCACTAGGTGCTCTCTTTAGCCCTGCTGGTGGCTCTTGGGGCCAGAGGTACTGCTGAATGTAAGGACAGGGTGTGGTGAAAAGTAGGGCATGTCCCTTGGACCCCAGAGGAACAAAAGGACAGGGTGAGGGCTATCCTGAATATACAGAAAAGGTGTCACCTGCATTAGAAGCTACCATGGTTCACAATTCTCATAAAACAGTAATAGTAATAACTTTAACAGAAGCTACCATTGGCTGATCACTGAACTACTTGCAAAACCTGTCTAGGCATTATACATATGTAGTCATTTAATGCTCATAGCAACAACCCTGTGAAGCAGTTATTAATAGTCGTGTTCTCTAGGAGAGAAAATTAAGATTTAATAAGCTGCTCCAATTTGCAACTAAGATGTGACAAATCCAAGATATGAACCCAAATCTGTCTTATGCTAAAGACAAAGTTCTCCAGGGAAAGGGATCCATTTAATTGTGAATCCAGGATTAAGAAGCTTAGAACATCCCACAGATGTTTTCATTTCCTTCAGGGCCATCTTGGTAGAAACCTCACTCATAAGCAGAGCTCCAGAGACTCTTCCATTGCATTACCTGGTACTAACTCATTTCTTTGCCCCTCAAAACCACAATACCCTATTGAATTCCCACCTCAAAGAGATATTTAGCAGGTTTTGGCGAGTGGGCTAGAGCCTTCTATAACTCAGATTTGAACTTTGGAAATCTGATTCTCAGCCACAGAGCTCAATGAGATTCAAACTGTGGCGGTGGCAGAGACCACACCCTAAGTATGGAGGTCCTGTGTGGTTAACCTGCTTCCTGAGACCTTGGGTTCCACAGACCTTCACACAGCTGTCCCTTCCATATATGGGCACTGTTTGGAAGTGGCATCTGTGGAAGGTAGAGGAGTCCTAACTCTGCACTAGTGATGATATGCTGCCTCCTCTGGGGAAGGGAGATCCACCACTGAAACTTCATCCAGAACCCCTGGCTCGAGTTCCAGTCTCTTACCAGCGACATTAAGAGCCCTCGAAGTCCAGATAATCTTGTTCTAGGCTTGGAGAAATGCTTCTTACAATACATCCTTTCTTTTTAGAATAGTCCTATCCTATAGAACCTTCTATTGATGGAAATGTTTATATTGCGCTTCCTTGCACGGTAAAAACCAGCCACATGTGACTAACGAGTACTTGAAATCTGGTTAGTGCAACCAAGGAACCAGTGAAACTGAATCTTTAAATTGTATCGAACTTTAATTAATGTAACCCTAAATGTAAAAGGCCACATGTGGCCACTGTACCAACAGCACAGTTCTAGAATTAGCCTGAAGAAAATCGGCCCCCTTTTCGTTTCAACCATCTCTGGCACCCAGTGAAATGTAACCTTGGATCTTCTTACTCATCATCAAAAATTCTTGGTTTCCAGGAGGGGTGTAAGATGCTAGCCTCACTTTGCAAGTGAGAAACTTAGGGCACAAAGGAAGAAAGCTATTTGCAATATCAGGCAAGGGTGGCCCTAGAATCTTGGAGTTGTAAGCACGGCTGTGAGCCTTCCAGGTTCCTCCTGGACGCATTCCAGACGTTCTTCTTCTCAGTCCATTTTGGGATGAGGAAGAAGAGTATAGGTTATTTATAATAGCATCCTCCACGTGTTTTCCCTACAAACCAGGGACAAAGGCCTGAACCTGGCTGCTGAGATGATGTGTAAGAATGAGTGTGTTCATCTAATTTCTCATCCTGAGACATAAGTATTTAGAGGGGTAGTATCATTTCTGGCTCCAGGGAGAACCCCAAGGGTCAGATGCAGGGGGACAGCCATCCTTGCTTACCTGAGGAACTTATTCAGATCTCCATGCTTCATGTACTCAAAGACCATGATGAGAGGGTCCCCATCGCCACACACCCCATAGAACTTGACAATGTGCTCATGCTGCAGGTTGGTGAGCAGCTCGGCCTCCCTCTGGAAATCCTTCCGGGCAGCCAGGGTGGGATCCTTCAGCGCCTAGGAACAATGCAGGACAAAGAGTTTTAGCAACCTCAGGGCAGGGGGCTGGCCCCACACACCACTGGGTTCCCAATAAATATGATTTTAAATGGAACGTAAAGACAACGAAGCCCAATCCAAACTATAAGGCCCGAATCCTTCCTCCTCCAGCATTCTGATCCCTGCAGAAATAGACACCTACTTTCTGACATCCACATCCCATGCCCTCACCAGTGATTTCAGGCTGCTCATCACAGAGCCCTGGGCTTCCCCAGGTGAGTATGCATGGCAGCTGGAGGGGCCGTGAGGAGGAAAGCCTGGCAAAAGCCCCTGCTCCAAAGGTTTTCTTGGAGGAAACTGTCCCACAGCTAGAATAAACAGTGTGAAAACCACTGCCCTGACTGCTTTAGCTTTGTGAATTAGCACATGCTCGTAGCCTACTGGAAACCGGGCAGACAACACAATAAAGTCTCCTTGTCTTTTGGAGTGCTTGTTTTTAGATCGTGAAGGAGTCTACATTTGCAAAGGAGGTTGAGTGCTGTGACTTCTGGAAAGCACCTGTGTTCTCCTAATAGGGTTTTGGAGGAAGCAATAGGGTGGGAAGAGTGGAGGAGCAGCTATGGGAATGGCAATCAGTGGACAGAAACCTCAGACACACCCAGGACCAGGCCGAGTCCTGCAAAGTCCTAGTGTAAGATGGAAAGGAGCATGTGAGAACCACCAGAATGCCACCATATGCACTTCCTCTAAGGCCCAGGAAGATGAATATACCCAGGTAGAGCATAAGTTGTGCATGTGGATTTCCCAGCACCTGAAGGGGACTACAAGATCAAAAATGAAGCCTTTGAGCACATCTGAAGGACCTTGGATAGGGCACTGCCATGGGCACAGCAATGTCGGCCAGATGGACAATGGTCTGTGAAGGGGAGGGGCGCTTTCTGCATGAGGAGCAGCTTATGCAGGTGGGCTCCCCCATTTCTCCAGCCTCTCCACCCTCCCTATGAAGCCAGAAGGCAAATGAGGCTGAACATTCAGGTGCTTCAACTGACACACTTTAGCCACCTCAATAGACACAACACAAGGCAATGGGGAAGTGAGTGCGACATTGGCTCACCATTTTCAGGTGAGTGACAGTCTAGACAGACTGGAGACTGGGTTGCATTCTCTCTGCTGCGCATCTGGCATTTCCAGGCTGACTGACCTCTCCTGTAGGTCACGTGAGTGCCAATACGTCTCCCTCACCAGAGATCTTTCTCCTGTCCCTGCAGCCCCATCAGCTGAAACCTACAGGGCTTCCTTGGTTCTAGCACTGCAGTAGTGTGAATATGCCAAAAGAGGTGTATTACGGGATCCATCAAACCTCTCAGCCTTTAGCACACATCAGAAATGACGGACTTTGAGCATGAAAGGGCCTTACACAACATCTGCTCCTACTCGTTTCTGGAGCTGGAGAACAGTTGGAGAAACTGAGGCTGAGTCTGCCCAGGAATTTGCTCACATGCACACTAATTAAATGACAGACACTTAGAACTTGACTGGACCTGAGGGTGCTGCTGGTGGGCCTCACAGTGCCCCAGAGTTCAGCAGCAATACATGTGGGGTCATCAGGTGGAGGTGTGGCCTTTCAGCAGAGATCAAGTCCCACTTCAACCAGCACCACCTTCTATTTTTTTAAAAACACATTTGGAGGCTTGATAAAAAATATCGCTTGATTAAATGAATCTATGACTGACAAAAATGTTGAAAGTTATCTAGTGTTTTCAGATGAGATAATAACTGAGGTTCGGTGTGGAGAAGGAACTTGCCAAAGATCACATAACACGTAATAGCTTGGGTCTAGGGCCCAGGACACGTCCCTGCCCAGCACACCTGCCTGAATTAATTTACGGGATAAATTAGTCACCAGGCAGGTCCCCAAGAGACTGGTGAGCAGAGGAATAAAAGGATATGATCGTATAGAGGAGAGGGTCAGGAAAGGCGCGGGGCATGGGCTGCCAGCAGAGTGGCTGGGCCCAGAGAAGGTGCCAGGCTTGCAGGATAGGCCAAGGACACTTGATCGGCCCATTGCTGATTTTTACCAGACCTGATTCTACGTGTTCTCCACTTCAACTCTCACTGCTGGCTCTGGAAAGCTACCTAACAATAAACAACTAGGATGTACTGTCCAACTTCAGCCAGCACAGAGACATGTGAGAAGTCAGAGAGTCATGGTGAGAGACAGTTTCTCCTGGGGACCCAGCTCCCAGCAGCAGCCCTGAGCTGCATTGGCTGGGTCATGGGTATTGGATGACAGAGAGTGATTTATTTATCTTCATGAAGAAGAAGAAGGGGAAAAAAGGAACATGGCATGGGTGGGATGGGAGAATATAAAGATTTATGTGAACGCTGGATTTATGAGAGGGAAGAGTAGATCAAATTTGAGGCCAGCCAAATGGCCTCTCTCCATCTCTTTAAATCATTCTCTCCCACGGTCTGGACGTCAATGACGGCCATGGGATATTTCTGTTCTCAGGTCTCGAGCAGTACCAGCCAGTGTCCCCCAGGCTGGCACCCTGCACTGTGAGGCAGAGATGGGGTCCTCATTTGGGAGATGGGCACAAAGCAACCACCATCACCTTTACTCTTCCACAGCCCTTTTCTGTGCTTTCAAAGTGGGCTTTCCAGCTCTTGAGTCAAACCTGAAGTTCTCGCCTAATTGGCCAAGGGTGGGGTGTGGCAACTAGGTAGGAGCTGCCAGTGGCCCCGTCCCCTGGGATTGATGCAATTAGAACAGAGGTGACAGGAGGAGAATAATGACGAGGAATGTAGGGGCTGGTGACTCTCTGGCCCCTCTCAGTGGGGTCCACATGTAACATCTTCATGGCTGGGAAACCTCAAAATGGGCCACCAGTCAGTGACATGGGAAAGAACCCATTTACCATGGCTGCCAACTGTGAGTGCAGAGACATGCATTGTGCCAAGAGGTCTCCGAAGCCAGGGAGGCTCCCGGCTCAGGCCTTTGTACAGTATCCTTAGTACAAAAAGGACAGCTAGGATTCGCCCTCCTTCTCTTCCTCTCCTCCTTCCAAAGTTTGGGAACATTTCCCTTTCTTATCTTTCCCCCTGCATGCACCAGCTGTCATGTCCACCTCTGCCTTGGGGAAAGGGTTTTAGTGAGGCTGTTTTTTGAGTCGAAGGAAAATAGTCTAGATGACAAGAACGCAAACATCTCGACAGCCCCCAGTTCTTCCTGGGTCACCTGGCATCCTCACGTCATCCACCCTCTGCTGCCCGCCATTTTGCTTTCTTTTTTTTTTTTTTCCCCTTCTTTAGGGGGAGATATTTCAAGGGATGTTCAGTTTCAGATTTCATTAATATCCTGAAACTCATGACATATATACAATATACACACATTCCTAAATGTTCAAAGTCCTAAGTGGTCACACACATGCACACGCATGCAAACACACATATGTACACTCACACGCACATCAATCAACCCCCTTTAATTCACACACACATCAATCAACCCCCCCACACACACAACACAAACTCACATACACTTCAATCAACCCCCCTAAAATCATCTTTCTTTTAGTGACTCAAAATCCACTGCCACCTCCTCTGGGTGAGATTCTCAAACAGTTTCACCAGGAAAGAAGATGGGTAGTTGTCACATAGAGGGGTACCCCTCCCTCATCTGTCTTCCTGGCTTAAAACTGGCCATGGGCTTCCCAGTGTTCCTAGGATAAAATCCAAACTCCTTAACACAGTCATGGACTCTATCAGGTCTGGTCTCCCGGTCTCTGTCTGCCTCTTCTCCCCCATCATTTATGACACCTCAGTCTCACTGGCCTTCCCATGCTCTCCAAGGTTTTCTCTGCCTCAGAGCCTTTGCTGCTCCTTTGGCCAGAAAACTCTCCACTGAGCTGTGTCTACACTGCAGGCCAGATTAGCTGGCACTGCCTATGGCCTCTGCAGATCATGAGATCCTCAACAATACCTGCTAGTTGGATACCCAGGGAGATACCTCTGTCCCATAGAGAGGCCTACCAAGAGACATTGGTGACTGTTCCCAAACTCATTCATGACAGCTCAACCTGCTAACGTAATTACTTAAAGTAATGAAATGTTCTAGAAACCAATGAAATATGAGTGTGGATTGAGGAGTTTTTATGGAAGCTATAATGAATGCTTTTAAAAAACCTGCTAAAGGTCAGTAGTTAAAAATACTGTTAAGAGTGGAAGGAAAAGTATCCAAACATTGGGAAATAGTAAAAATCTGAGATTCTGCACTCAGATGGTTTCGCAAATGTCTTAAGCTCCTGCTTCGATGTAAAATGATTGAAATTGGAAATTTTGACTACTGAAAACAAAACCCAAAACACTCTTCAAACCAAAAGGAACCCAATAGCTGAAGTTCAGATATACTGGAAGAAGTATAATGCTAAATCCAAATTACTAAAATTATCAAAAACCAAAACATAAATTTCCTGAAGATAAATCAATTTTATCAGAGAGTGGCTCAAAATGATTTTAAAATAAATGCTCAAAAAGAGCAAAGAAATACATTTTTTAAAGAAAATAAGAAGGCATGCTGGAAGTAGGCGGGAGAAACAGAATTCAGGTACCAAAATTAAGAACCGATTAGATATCTTGGAAAAAAAATGTCTGATCATTGAAGTAAAAATAAATACCTCTACAGACAGGAAAAGCTCTAGACCAGATAAAACCACATGAAGAATTCATGAATTAGAAGACCACGGAGGTTCACCTGGGACAGAGCATGAAATGACAGAGAAAAAAAAAATAGAAAAAATGGGGAGGAGGATCTCATTCCCTCCTCTGCAAAGGAAGGGGGTCGCCTGGGTTTGAAGGCCATGTAAATGTTCTTTTTGTCTAACGACCATTTCAGAGTGGCGCCACTTACTTAGCAGTCTATCTCATGCATGATGCTATTTTAATGTCACACTCATACTGCACATATATGCAGATTATGTCCTGTGCCGTCCTGCTCCCTCTCCCCAGCAGGCTGTAAGCACCTTAAAAATAGGCTATGCTTTCTGCTTCTTTATTTGTACCATAGCAACTGCTGGGCAAAACAGTCTTGTTTGGGAAAACTTTATCTTGAGTTATACTTGTGTGTGTTTTCCGGAAGTACAACATTACCCTGAACCGACATGAGAACTAACTCAAAGGGAAGGTTCCCGCAAAAAGAAGTGGAATCTAACGAGGGCAGGAAGCAGGAAACACCACTTCCAAGATGTTCTCTGGAGGAGCCAGGCATCTTTTCCAGGCTGACAACTAGGGAGATCCACTGAGTGGCACATGGTGCAAAGTCCCAGAGGGTTCATCTTCTTGAGGTGCCCAGATCCAAGGCAAGAAGGAAATCTTTTTTAAAAGATGGAAACAGAAATGCACTTTGTGCATTATTCGGTCTGCCCCTTAATGCCAGACCACTCAGGGGAAACATTTCCCAGGGTTTTCAGCCATCATTTCATTCTCTGCTGAAAGTGCAAAAATGTTCAATTCATTCACCAGTCCCCACATGGATGCCGGAACACCCTGTGGATTAGTGTCATCCCATATATTAAAAATGCCAGGGCAGTGCGAATCCTAAGCTTAGAAACAACATTAGAAACCTTTCCACATCCCTGCTCCAAGCTGTTTAAAGACACCCTTGCTCAGTTGACCATCTCATGTCTATGGAGACACACGGAGCAAATTTATCGACAGGATGTACAGTAGTAACAATCGTTAGCCTTTTAGGATGCAGTACCTTGTTTATTTTCTGGAGCAGGGGTCAGCCAACGATGCTTACTTTTGTAATAAAAAAAGGTCACTGGAAAATAGCCGCCCTTATTAGTTAATGTGTTGTTGATGCTGCTTTCCAACAACACGGGCAGAGTTGCAGTGGAAGGTATAAAGCCCTCAAAGTCTAAAATATTTAACTTTACAGAAAAAGTTTGGTGACTCCAGTTCCAGAGAGTCAGTCAATGCAAGCTTAGCAGGTCATACATCATGCGTCTAAGCAATTCAGTAATATCAACATCAGTGATAATGATGTTGATGGCAACAAATGCCAACTACTTTTTATTGAGTATTTACTAAGCCCCGAACAGTGCGTTAAGGATTTTAGACACCTAATGTAATTTAATCACCAACATTGTATGGGGGGTATATTGTTATTGCTATTATGCAGATGAAGAAATTGAGGCTCAAAGAAGTTGAGTGTCTTGTGCAAGGTCACACAGCTTATCAGCAGTGAAGCTGGGATTTGCATCCAGGTTCTCTGATGCCCATGCTATGCCTGCACTGTCCTACCTTCATTCTTGGAGGCCATTTGCCTTCTGTGGACAGAAACAGTTCTGTAGATACACAGGACTATGAATACAGAGACCCAAAAGCTGCAGAAACAAGAGCTGGTTTTGTGATTCCTCAATGCTAAGGGCAGGACCGTTCTGAGGTCTTGGTGAGTGTCTTCACTGGGAGCCATATCTCTGGCATTGGTCAGCCCACAACTCAAAACATGGCAGACTATACACTGGCCTCAGAAGCCTGCTCACTGCACGCAAGGAAGTCACTCCAGACCCAGAGAAGGGTTCCAGGGATCTGCGGGTGCCTTCAGGAGGCTACTTGATTCTTGTTTATGTCAACCACGTTCAAAGATTTGTCCAATATTGTTTTCCAAAGAGAAGCTGTTGACCGCTGGGTGGAAGAGCCTGGAAGGGCAATTAGTAGCAGCAAAGCCCCTTCTCTCCTGCCCCAAGCAATTCAGCTCCTGCCGCAAATCTGCCATGTGCCTTGGCAACACAGAAGCCCTGTGGTTGAAGGAGCCCTCCAGCAGCTTCCAGAAGGAAGTTTCTCCCAGGCATGCTGCCCCTTAGGTTCTGAAACTGAAACCCCTGGAAAATACCTAGCAATTTCACCAACTCCACTCGTTATTCTCCCAGTGCTAACGCCCTGCCTTCCTGCTGCAGCCCCTGCCCCACAGCATCTTCTTCTATTATCAGTGATGTTTGTGCCCTTGGGAAGTGGTTACCCAGACCTCCTTAAACAGCCCACTCTACAACAGATCAACTCCTGAGAAATGGCCATGTGGCGTTCCAGGCTCAGACCACATGTCCTGTAAAGCCACTACATGGTGAAGGGTGGAGGGTGGAGGGCCAGCCCTGGCACAGAGGTAATCACAAGGCCACCAGAAAAGAACCAGAGTCATTTACAAAAATAACTTGCTCCCCGGGCATAGCTCCCTTAAGTGCTGCAGCCCTTGACCTTGGAAGCCAAAGGAAGTTGTTTTGGTCCCTAGGAAACTTCATTGACCTTGGAGCAAAGTCCTCTGATTGCATCTGAGAAAGCCAATTGAGTACTATCTTTTCAAATGGAGCAAGCCTCTTCCTCCCCTCCCCAGGCCCTCACCCGTTCCTCCTCCTGGTGCCCGCAGGCCTCTGGGTTTACCTTCACAGCCACGAGCATCTTGTCCTTGGTTGGGCTGAGATTGTAGCACTCGGCCAGAAAGACCTTTCCAAAGGCTCCCTCACCCAGTTCTCGTTTCAACACGATGTCTCTCCTCTTAATGTGCTGCACATCTGCAGGAGGGAGACAGGGAGGAGGGCAGCAAATCAGTCCTCATTTGGTGACACAGGGAGACAGAAGAGTACAGAAGTCTAGGGTGGAGACCTCTGCTGCTGAGTCCACGGCAGGGAAAGGCAAACTCTAGCACCCCAGCTTTAGCATAAAAACTGACATCCCTCTGTGCTTTGAGAGTATGGGCCAGAATCAAATCTCGGTGCTGTCCCTGAATAACCCCCAACCCCTCTAAACCACAGCATCCCCCACTGGCAAATGGAGTCAATAGTTAATGCACAGGATTCTGGTATTGATTAGCCAGACTTGTTGGAGACGCATAAAGCAGTCTCCACAGTTTTGTGCACATGAATCCCCTGGGAATCTTGTCAAAATGAAGATTCTGATCCATTGGGTCTGAGAATCTACACTTCTAAGAAACTCCCAGGTGATGTCCATCTGCTGTCGGTCGCACTTTGAACAGCCAGGTTTCCAGGCTACGATGGAGAATCAGGTTGGCATCCTGGCTCGACTCCATTAATAGATTTTTTTTTAGCTTGGGAAAGTTATTTAGCCCGAGAGCCTCAATTTTCTCATCTGTAAAATGAGACTAACAAGAACAACTTCCTCGCTGAATTCTTGTGAATTAATTGAGATAATCGTTGAAAGAGCTTGGCCCAGTGCTGAGGGCAAAGACAAGACAGACACACGTGCACACACACACACACATATACACACACACACACACACAAGACACACTGGCTTTTATGGTAACAAAAAAGCCGTAGTGACCCCATCACAGTGCCTGGTTCATGACAGAGCCTACTACTAAGGGGTAGGTAAGATTATTTGAGAAAACTTCTACGTGACCAACCCTTCTCTGAAAGAGAGAAAGACCAATGAGAGCACCAAAGGCAAGTTCAGAGTCCACCCAAGAACGAGAGTATGTGCAGAGAGAAGGGTTGCCCCTGCCTCTGCTAATTTAGCAACCTAATTAAAGTCTGTCTGCCTGGAGAAAGCAGAGCTGTGACCTCAGCCCTCCCACCTATTTGGAAAGAATGCCACGAAGGAGTTGGACACGCAGTGGGCTGGCGATGAAAGGAGGGAACCGGAGATGACTCACTGACCTTTACATTAATTGTTCAACAGGCAGAAGCCCATTAAATACCTGCATTCACATGATGAAGAGCAGTGCAGAGCCAAAAGGAGGATTTTCCCAAGTGACTCTGTTGAGAAATGAGAGCCGCAGCTCCTGGACCGTGGCAGACCGTCCTCTTTAGTCAGAAAACATACAGGGACAGAGGGGCGTGGCTGGAAGCCTTGGGGTAGTGTTTTGCTGGTTTAGGGATTCCTTCAGGAGTAAACTAGAGGAATCTTTTTTCTCCCCTCATCAGAGTCCTTGGTATCCCCCCAGTGTCCCAGATGATCTGCCTAGCAAGTATTCGTGGGAGGAAGCATTTGCAGACTATTTTCTCCTTCCCCCAGGACAGACCTGCAGGTTAACAGCTGCTGGTGACCGCTCCTCCCAGGCTACATGCTGCCGGGCTATGCCCTGGTCTTTACGGGGAGGGGATTAAAATTGGTTCCCTTCCTCACGATTTCTGTCTCTGTTTCTCAGCCTCCGAGGAATGGTATTTGTTGACCTTGGAGGGCAAGGCTAAAGAGTCTCCCACTGCGAAAAAAGAGGAAGTCAAGCCCTCTCTTGGGAGGCCACATGCTCCTGCTGCCTAATCATTCTCAGGTGACCAGGGATGATGCAGGCTTCTGCAAGGTGAGTGTCTGGCACTGCCCGGCAGTGAAGACAGGGCTCACAATGGCAGCTGTACCATGCCAGGCCACAACTCTGAACATGCCGGGATGGGGAAGGCAGGCATGGGAAGCCACAGGTGCTTGCTTCAAGACCTGGATCCTCCAAGGGCTTGTGCACCTCACCGTAAAACAACAAAAACTTGGGTCTCAGATTTCTCACCTGTAAAATGGGTATGGGGAGAATAGTAGAAGTTCAACTTACCTATTACCTGAGTGTGGAAGTTTGTAAGCCTTTCAGTCCTCCAACATGCAGGCTGTGTTTTGACATTTTCATTATGATTGACATTATTTTACAAAAAGGAGAAATGAGGGCCAATTCAGGCATCCCCACCTACTGGCTGAGCTGGGCACAGAATTCAGAGCATCAGAACATGGCAGGCTTGCAAGTCACTTGGGGAAGAGCCCCCTTCGGCCCCTGTCTCCACTCCAATCCCACCTTCCCTCTCCATTGCAATGAGAGAACTTGAGAACATGTCAAAATCACCTAGACGGCTCACTACAACAGATTGCTGAGCTCCTCTGCCAGGGATTCCCATCTAGTAGGTCCAGGCTGAGGCCTGAGCATATGCGAATCTAAGTTCCCAGGTGCTGCTGGTGCAAGAACCACTTTGAGGACCACTAGAACATGGCTTCTCTGGTGGGGTGGGGAATTAGCCAGCTGAAGAAGTTCACCTTTACAACTTGACCTAAACAGGTGCCATGCTCACAAACAGTTTAGCCACGGACCTCACTTCCAGAAGCCCAGGAGGAGGTGAGACATCCTAGACTTAGCTCTAAGGTCCTTCTTCCGTCCCTAGCTGTGTGGCCTAGATTGAGTCAAGTCCGTCCTCAGAGGCCCAACTACCCATCCATGCAATGGAGATCATACCTCTCTTGCCTTCTTAGGTTCTAGAAACATCTCTACAAAGGCAAAACAATATTATATCTTTTCCTGGGTCCCTAAGTCCAACCCTGGGCTCCCCTCAGAACACCCACTCCCAGCTACAGTGAATGCAAAACAGGAATGGAGGAGCTTTAAAGAGAACCAGACTCTGCTTTTCAGCGCCTGTGCCTTGGCCATGTCTTGGAACCCGTCCTTCTCCTCTCCCTCCCTCGGCAGCAAGAATCACAAGTCCTGAGAGATTCAGACAGGCCAAGTGGGAGCGGCATCCCGGGGGTGGTTTCCCAGCCCTCCCTCAACATCCTGGGAGAGCCGGGCAGCAGCTGCAAACCCCTGGCTGCAGGAGTGGGGACGCTGTGACAGCTTTGAGCCTTGAAGGTAGCAGAGGGCAAGTGACCATAGTACTGGAAGCTCATCTGCTCTCTGCGAGCATGTGAAAAAGGCCAGGCAGAAGCCTCCCATGGGCCAAAGTGTTTTCCCCAAGTTTCAGGGACGTGGAAATACTCAGGGGCTCAGAAGAAAACAGCCTTGGCTCATTCTCGTTTTCATCAGGATGAAAGAATGTTGACACCAACACCCGTGCTTAGCCCTGGGTAGGGTGGTGAGCACTGGGAAGGAGCAGAGGGAAACAAACACAGATTTTATTCGACCATAAATTCTCCCCCAGGAGAGGATTTGTTCCTGGTCATGAGGATAAGAAGCTTCACAAGGTAACCAGGGAGCTTTGGCAGAAATTAACTGGATTTGGACCAAACACATGAGGCAGATCACTTCCATGTGGACGACCCCACGCCTCAACAAGACTGGAGACTCCAAAATACCATCTGAGGAGCTTCTTTCACTGAACCTACCAAGGAAAAAGTAGGGCAGAGGGAATTAACTTGCACCCTATGTATTCAACACTTGATTCTCATAATAACCCTGAGAGATTGAGAGACCAGTGTAATCACACCCCTTTCACAGCTGAGAAAACAGAGGCAGGGGGTAACTTTCCAGATTCACAGAGGTAAAAAGCGGCCAAGGAAGGACTCTCTTGTTTATGACGTCCAAAACCGTGTTCTTTCATTTACCTTAGGCTGCCTACCCTCTGCCCTCCCAGTTTACGGCCACTAAAATGATCCTGTCCACAGAGGCTTAACCATTCATCTTCCACTACCCAGCTTTCCCTCACCCTGCTCATCCAATAACTCTATGATGGCATCTTCCCAAGGGCAAGGGCAGGAGCCTCCCCACCCCTGAAGCCCAGCAGAACAGACAAAGCCCTGGGGAGAAGGGTATATCTGGGGACAGAGTGCGGGAGGAACAGCCTCTGCTCAGGCCCTGGGGAATGCCTGGAGTGAGCCGTTTCATTTCTGACGTCCACGCGTCTATTTGGGTCCCTGTTCCTGCATTCTTTTAGCTCACACAGTGCTGTTCAGAGCTGCCTCTGGTGAAGCTATCTGACCCACACGCCAAAAAATGATGGATTTTCCTAAGAGGAGAGGGCATCAATCTCCTTTTACTGCCTGGCTGGCTGGCCCAGCAGAGTCTGGGTCACAAGGCTCAGACATGGAGACACTGGAAGGGGAGGCGGGGCGGGGGATGCATAGCCCAGGCCGTGGGAAGACCTCCCAATCTGCAACAAGGAAGGGGCTGCTGGACAGAGCAGGGGGCTGCGATATAACGGGGAGGGTTCTTTGGGAAATTACAAGAGTTCCTGGGACATTCTGGTCTGGCTTTTCCCTAATTCCTTTTTGTGAGACAGCCACCAACTGGGTTCCACCAGAGGAAGCCACCTGTCGACCTTCTTGTTCCCACAGGACGAACGGCTCGTCCGACACAAGTACAGAATGAGAATTTCTGTGTTTTAGTGGCTGCTCCAAGAATTCTTTCTCTGTAGTGGGGACCAAGATAACTATTCCACATGTGTGCGATTCACTTCTGGGAGGTCTTCCAGGCCTGCAGCAAGCGTGACCTAGAGCAGAATCTCCAGTCCATCGAGGTCACTGGCCACCTCTGGACGGTGAGCCCTGAGAGATCGGTGGGCAGGCAGGGGTTATTCCTCGTCCTGCCTCTGCTCCCCTTGGCTGCCCTGGGGGGTGGGAGGGGAGACATATACAGAGCCCCTGGATACACTGGCATCGCTGGACACATAGGTGACCACTGTCAGCTTCACCTCCGTTCTAGGAGAATGCGGCCAGGGAGGTGGCAGCCATAAACTGAGTAGCCCTGCTGACCAGGGAGGAAGAGGGAACAAAAAACCTGCCCCAAATGGCACTTGTGAAGGAGCGAAGACTGAGAAAAACACAAACAAAACGAAAAAACAGATCTCTGTTGAAATCCTGACCCTCTCAC